AGTAATACATTTTGTTTTCCTTTTGATATTGTGGTAACAGTGTTGAAGTTCTTCAAAATAACTGTTGGTATAAGAAATTTTTAGATTCAAATATTTTCTCAGAGAGAGCACACAGACTTTTCACTTCTTCAGATCTTATCAGTGAGGGAAGGTATCATCATTTACTGTATCTTACATAGTTGTGGGAGATAATTCCACCAATTTAAAGGCAAAAAATTAGCATTCAATTCACGGGCAACAGCTCTGGTGGACATTCCTGCAGTTCCCTCAAAACTTGCGACATCTGTGGCATTGTGCTGCCCAGAATCACTGCACATTTTAGAGTGGTCTTTTATTGTGGCCAGCCTAAGGCACACCTGTGCAATAATCATGCTGTCTAATCAGCATCTTGATATGCCACACCTGTGAGGTGGATGGATTATCTCGGCAAAGGAGAAGTGCTCACTAACACAGATTTAGACAGATTTGTGAACAATATTTGAGAGAAATAGGCCTTTTGTGTACATATAAAAAGTCTTAGATCTTTGAGTTCAGATCATGAAAAATGGGGTCAAAAACAAAAGTTTTGTGTTTATATTTTTGTTCAGTATATATATATATATATATATAATATGATTGATGATTTAGTTCTTATGTACACATTGCAGATCTGCACCACAAACTTTCTCTGGCCTTGTCGCAGATGACTATTTTTGTGACAGCAGCTGCCAGCTGTCCTAATACCGCCCAGACAAGAATGTTTATCTCTACATTTTTTTTATAGGATTACCTTATTGGAAGTCATTGTCAGTGGCATACAATGTAACACCATGTGCACCAAGACTATAGTAAGAATAACCTTAGTTGTGTTTCTCAATTATTACTTATTTCTTCACAAATGTGAGAAAGTGAGATTAGCACGTAACTACTTCCTGGAACAACAGACTCAGGAAACACCTGTTGCAGAATAAGACCCACAATTCATAAAACATTTATGTGTGTGTGTGTGTATGATCATATATATTTGCTAAAAAACAGCTATTTTAAGAACACTTAAAAGGCCAATAAGTCCTGACTCACAGAAACACTCATCTGTAATAATAGTATTTTTTGCAGACATCTGAGATAGAGAGATTGGCTCATGCAGGCTGACTCCCTGTAATGTTTCCTCTCTGTGAAATAGTGCCTGGTGTTTGGCAGATTTCTCTGAACTGGCCCCGTGGCCTGTGATTACAGCTGTCACTATGAGAAGCTTTCAACAGGTGTTTGAAATGGAGGCGCTGTGTCTGTTTTACCATGTGTTGATGCTGCAGCAGAGCTCAGAGAAACAAAAATGGCCATATATTATATTGACATGCAGCTATTTTTTTAATTAATAAAAATAGACAGAGAAAATAGTATTTGTATGCAAATGTGAGTAACTCTAAAGGGACTGAGGAACGGGTAAACTGTATTTATAAGGCCTATAAAAACCTTCAAATGTCAAGTTTGAAGTCAACATGCATAGTTTTTATTTATTTATATTCAAGAAAAGAAAAAGAGAACAGTTATCAAAGCAAGCAGAGGAAGACTAGCAGAAAGGGGCGTGTTTAACCGTCTGTGTGCGCGCGCATGTGTTGATCAGGAAGCTCTGGGTCTGAGCTGCTTCGAAGCATCTTGCGTTTCCTGAGGAGACCAAATGGCCACTGTTCAGTTTCATTACTTAGCAACCATACATAACTGAACTCGTATAGGTTCTATGTGCGAAATAGATCAGTATATTTCAAATCAGACGTATATTGATCAGTATTTGGCGTATAATACAGGTTATTCTTCCGTCGCGTGCGTGCAGCGCTTCAGCCAGTGAGCTCGCTTTAATCACATCAGACTAGCCCCTCATGTGAGTCTATTTTATTATTATTTTTTACACATTTTAACACTATAACGCTATTTTCTGTTGATATTTCTCCTAAAAATGCTGTTTCGTGTTATTCTGTATTCTATATTTGTGCGTTTTAAGTCGTTTGAAATGAGCTAATGGGGCTAGCGTTAGCATAATGGCTAACAGCAGCGATTGAATTGCATTTTTGATAACATTCTGTATTTTGGTAGCATAATAGAGCGACTTAATTTGTCATTTGGTTGCTTTACTTGTAAATGCCGATGTAATTGTTCAGCTAGTTTCGTATATGGGATTCTGAACACGTTGATGTTGCTAAATATTATTTGTTATTATTAAATATCATTAATTGTAATTTTAAAGCAATCCTAAATGTGTATGATCGTAGATGGTCGTATCAAATTGAAGTTATAATTGTGATGTGACTGTATTTTCCTGAACTCCTTCTTTATTTCCACCCTTAACATGGAAGAGTGAAAACGAAAGTGTTTTTGAATGCGTCTCATAAAATGGCTGTTTCTTGGCTTTTGCATTGAGATTTTACCATCTGAACAGAGCTGAAGAATAGTACCGTTTTCCATAATGTCTCAATCTAGTGAGCTGCCTATCTAGACAGCAAAACAATGCCTAGTCAGCAGTTTGAGCCTGTAGGCAGGTTTGCTACCTACCTAGACAGCATTTTTGGGTGTCTCAATGTCTCTAAACCTAGTAAATTGGCTATTGAACTATCCATCTAGTATCTTTGGAGTCTAAAATGCTGTCTAGATAGACAGCTCACTAGCTTTTGAGACACAGCCAGCGAGTGTCCTCTGTCCTGATGATTTGATCAATGCAAATGTTTTGTTTTTCCATAGTGTTTACAGAATAGATTAGAAACTAGCTGCACTGGTTGGGCTGAACTGTCTCTTACCCCAAAGGACTTGGTGAAAATTGCTTGGCAGTTGTTCCTGTTGCTGATTTGACTGTCAAATCCAACTTTTTCATGCTATAGGACACACCCTGATCTTTATTCTACAGAATAATGCTGCATATCTATTAACCTGGGCGTCTCATGTTACTAGATAAATGCAACAGTCTGGAAAAGCAGCGCTTGGAGATTTTTGACCTCTCATAGAGTTTTAGTCAACCAGCCAGTGTAAGCCATTGCGAGCTAGGCCTATATATTCTTTTGGTCAGAAATGAAAACAAGAGTATGTTGTGTATATTGCAAATAGAGTGGCTAAATGCGTCATTCTTTTATTGCAAATTACTTATGCAAAATTTGCACAATATTATAAGGAAGTGTGTTTGTTTTGCATGTTTATGAATCTGAAACCGTTTCACCCTCTGCTTTCTGGCTCATCGGGTCAGTTTGGTTCTCATTTTTGTGGTTATCTGCTGCATACTTTCAGAGTTGTTTTCTGTTAATGTTTGATTTATCTGGTCCACACGGTACACAGAATTCATCCATAGTGGGTCAAGGTAAAAACAAACAAACAAAAAAACACTTACCGTAAATTTTTATCAGGTAGGAAAGCAAGTATGTTTGAAGACAAATAATGTATTGGAATTGCATCAGTTACCGTAAACAGGAATTAGTTCAGGTGACCATGATCAATACTGCTGTAGATTACTGGAGGGATAACAGTAATCATTGTGAGCTAGGCCTATAAATAGTAGATACGATGTTAAAAAACTTTTTAAAAAGTAGATTAAGCTCAAAACAAAGACGTAAACCAAAAAAAATGCAATAATTTAGATTATAGATTAATACAGTGTCATTACAGTCCTATTTTTTTCTTAAATTTGAAAAGAACAGGACAGATTCTCATAAAAATTAATATGAACATAACCTGTAGGATTTAATTAAATATGGCCAGTTTTATTTTTTTTATTACATTTTATTGTATTGTGTAAGAAATGTTTTACACCACTGCAAAGTCACATTGAGGCTGCTTATTTTGACCAAGTTTTAACAAAGTACAAAAATGATCCGTTTTGGGGGGAAGTTGTTATACACGGTGTGAGCAATATCAATAAGTTTTAGTCCAGTGTGATAACAGTAACTAGTATTTACAGGAAAAAGAAAATCTTCTCCGGGTCAAACTGGAACACAAAATGAGGGTTAATACATTTTATTGATTACAGCCCTAATAAATATAATGGCATAAATAACAACAGTTGAATTTACAATAATTTCATTGTTGAATTATTCAGTTAGTCAAAAAAAGCAGTAACAAAACAGCAATTCAAAGTCAGTTCTGCATATCAGTTGTTGGTCACTTAAAGGGTTAGTTCACCCAAAAATTAATATTGTATCATCATTCACCCTCACCCTCATGTTGTTCCAACCCTGCATGCATTTATTTTTTCTGTTGAACACAAAAGAAGATATTTTGAAAAATGTTGGTAACCAAACAATTGCTGGTAGCCATTGACTTGACTTTCAAAGTATTTTCCGTTCCATTTTTTTTTTAAACCATGCCATGGAAGTCAAAATATATTTTGTTGTGTTCAACAGAAGAAAGAAATTCATGCAGATTTGGAGGGTGAGTAAATGATGACATAAATATAATAAGTATTGGTAAATCTTGGTTTTGCATATGACAAACAGGTAAATCACATGCTGTTCAGCTGGCCTGTTGTTTTTTTGGTCTGGTTTAATGTCATAAAGGTTTAATTGTGTTTGTTTATTTTTAGGGGACTTAAATTTCTCCACATTTCTACACTACTGTATGAGTGTGACAGCTTTGTGTTTATGTGATTTCCCTTTTCAGATACTGTGAATATAAAGATGTCCAAGCCCCCAAATTCTGCTTCTCGGTCCCGGTCCAGATCCAGGTCTAGATCGCGGTCCTACACACGATCTCACTCCAGGAGTCGCTCCCGCTCAAGGTCCAGAAAGCGTCGCTACAGGTAGACACACATACAACAGATTACAGCCAATTCCTTTACAACAAACTGTTAGTTAGATATAGCATTTTAAAATGTGAAATCTGGTTATTTTAAACTGCTATAATGTCACAGCTCAGTTTAAACACAGCTGCTTCTGAGCGCTTTATCGTACCCTTGACCCAGCGTGAATGAATATTCAAATAGCACTAAAATAAGATACCATAGTTTCCTGAAGGTTGCTCCTCCTCTAAGCCTTTCTCTTTTTTCTGACAGACCACCCCTTTTTGTGTTTTTTTTCTTCTTTTTTTTTTTTTTACATGTCCTGTGTGCGTTAGTCTAAGAACGGTTTCATTTTGTTTGACGTGACTACCTCTTTCCACTACATGTGGCTTAGCATGTCGATATGCTTGCAAGTAAATGTTATTCTTAACCTGTTTTCCAATGAAAAAGCACAAACGGTAAGACATTTACTTGTTCGCAAATGTGTGGTTTAGTCTGGTAAATTTGGACCATGGCGCCTGTAGTTAAGCTCTAAACATGTCTAACTTTATGCATCGCCAGATTTAGGTAATGAATTTAAGTTGCAGTTACTTTTAAATGAAATTTCCATATATGTCATTTCAGAAGATCATGATGAAGGCATACATTTAGGCGGCATAATCATTTAGTCAGTGGTAAAGGGCTTGTAAGAGTAGCATCCGTTGCAAAAATTTACAGGAAGTGATTCAACACTTTGTCAAGGAAAGAAGTTGCTCATTACAAAAACTGTGTGAATATTGATTCTGTAGCGCCATCAAGTGTTCATGAATCATAACTGCATTCTTTCTCTCTTTTTCTCTCTCTGATCTTCCTGTATTCCTCTTTCTGTACTTTGATTTTCCATCCTTCATGTCCTTTAGCTCTAGATCAAGATCCCGTTCACACAGCAGAGAGAGGAACTATCCTTCCAGAGATTTCCAGAACAATCGTGGGTATAACCGTGGTTTCCGTGGCTACCGGAGACCCTTTCAATACCGGGGCAGAGGGCGTGGCTACTTCCCACGAGGTAACTATCATAGAGGTGGCAGCAACTATGGTTACCGTTCCAACAACTGGCACGGCCATAGAGACCACCAGCAGCAGCAGCAGCAGTACGACCACTCGTACAGCCCTAGGAGGGGGCGCTCGCGTTCCCACACACCACGGAAAAGATCAGCAAGCCGGAGCCGCTCGCGCCATTCCGATAGATCATCCTCTGTGCATTCCAGACATTCCAGCTCTTCCTCCCGTTCCTCATCCCCACGTCGACGCAACTCTACCGTTGGACGACTCCATTCTAAAGATCGCAAAGAAAGGGGTTCACCAAGTGAAAGCAAAGGAACCAGCAAGGAATCTTCCAAGCCTACAGGAAGCACCCCAGAGGAACCCAGTAGCAAGTGGGAAGGCTTAACTAACTACGATGCCAGCCCCAAACGCAAAGCTGCGTCTTCTGGTGGTCTGTCAGAGATCAAAGTGTCCATTTCCGGAGGTGCTGGCAATGGTGGTCCACTGTGGCGAAGCATCGGCCCTGCCAGTAAAAGTCCACTGGCAAAGACGTCAAGCTCAACTGACTTCGGGTCCTTCTCAAAGGAAGACTTGAAGACCGAAGACAAATCAGCCTCCATTTCGTCCGCTTTCAAAAAGTATGTTTTTGCTTTTGGTTTTGGATGTTTTCCCTCTTTCTTTTGTCCTCCAGGCAGTTTTTAATCAATCATCATTCTCTCAAATGTGTTTAGTCCTTATACAGCAACAAAGATCCTTGGAAGAATAGAGCTTATAATGGAAACCAATTTCAAACTCAAATGTCACAAATGGGCATTTACCTGTGCTATGAGGTTGTTTGCAATCCCATAATTTAGGAGATAAAGTTTTAATGATGTAAGTATGGAAAAAAAAAATCATCCTGGTTAGTCGTGTCTGCATTGCTGAAAAGTTGAGCCATAAGTTTGCGCATGTATTAACTGTTGTTTGTTGTAAGTAACCTTTTTTTATCTTGCTGTTAAAGGTTATGCTGGTTTGAAAATGTAAAATTTTTTCTAAAACAATCTGCTTTTTGATGGAACAAAAACCTGATTAATTTGTGATCGTTCACCTCAGGTTTTTGGCAGAAAAGAAAAAGCCCTTATCAGACAGGGATAATGGCAGGGGTGAGACTTTAAGCTTGGGCGACGCAGACAGCGAGAAGAGCGGCAGCAAGTTGAGAGCAGTTTTCAACGCGTCTGATTCTGGCTATGATGGCTCAAAGACTGACAAAGGACTTCCATTTCTGGATGCAGAAGAAGAGGAGTATCGCCAGGAAATGAAAGACAGGAAGACTGAGGAAGAATCCAAGTATAAGGACAAACCTCTTGTCACAATGCGTGACTTAACCGAAGAGCGTTTTGGGAAATGGGATGAAGATGTTGAAGAGGAACTGGATGAGGTACTTTATCGAAGTCGGAAGCATGTGTCTAGAAAAGAAGAAAAGGCCTCCAAGAAGAAAGAAAAGAAGAAGAGTAGGATCAGTCCATCCTCTCCATCGCCATCCAGAGTATCAGAGAATAGAGGCAGGCCACTGTTTCCAGCTGGAAGAGAGGCCTCACCCCCAGCTAAATCCTCAGCGAAGAAAGACCCGCAGTTTAATTTCAGTATAAAGGCATTCACTGATGATGGAGAAAGGTATGAATTTGAAGTCACATTTACTGCTCTGTTTTTAAAAAAAAATAATATGACATTTGGGTATGTGTTTATGACTCACTGCTTTTCCTCAGCTCATCAGGTGCATTAGCTAAAGAAAGACGTTTGTCACGGGATCTTGTGCACCCTGGTAAAAAAGATCATGAGGGGTTTCAATCGATCTTCCAGCATATTCAGTCTGCTCAGCTTCGCAGAAGCCCTTCAGAGCTATTTGCTCAACATATAGTCACCATAGTACATCATATTAAAGGTAATTCCAGACTAAGCTGGTGGTTATGTGTAATCCTTCATTTTAATTTTGCACTTTGTGCTTTGAGGTGCCTCAGGGTGCAAACCTAGGACCTTTCTCTTTTTTGTGAAATTCAATATGTGAACATTTTAAAATGGTGGCATGCAAGAAATGACTTATTTCCCTACCTTCTGAATGTAGCTCAACATTTCCAGTCATCTGGGTTGACTCTGAGTGAGCGATTTGGAATATACCAAAGAAAAGCTGCAGAGATGGAAAAGATGAAGCCGAGGAAAAGTCCTGAGATCCACAGGTAGGTGTATTTGTATTCTGGTCAGTATTCCACTCATGTATCACTGAAAGCTTTGTGGATTATAGTTTAGATGCCTTGTTCCTATCATATATATATATATATATTTTATTTATTTTTTTTGCATGTTTTTCCACAGGCGAATCGATGTGTCTCCCAGTGCTTTTAAGAAGCACTCTCACCTGTTTGAGGATTTCGAAGAGAGCGGCTACAAGGTGACAGAGATACAAAGAAATCTAGGTATGCAGCTCATTGGGGTTTAGGGCCCTATGAAATCCATTTATTTTCCCACAAATTCTGTTTTAATGGTTTAAGTTTTAATCAAAAAGCATGTCTTCCCAATTTAATTAATAAAACATTTGATTTATTAAAATTATTTAAGTTATTATTAAGTTATTATTTTTTTTTTAAATTCTAGCAATAATAATAATGCCCTATGGGGTTTTTTTTCTCTGAATGTTTCATTCTTCTGGATTTGTTTCAAATACAAATTTATCAAAATGGTGGAAATTAAATAAATGTAAACAACTTCAACAATTTTTTTTTTATGTAATCAAATGAAAATTTGGTTTACTGTTCGGGTTTACTGTGTAAATTAAAACAGACAACAGTTGTGTTATTTACTTTGAGAAGTGTTCTACTGTTCAATAGTAATTTTTTTTAAGTTCAAAATTTTCGTTTTGGGTTTGAAAGTAAAGACTTTTGAGTTTCTGTGGGTATCTGACGATCATTTTTATCAACCGAAATGGTGAAATGCTGGTAAAATGAACTATCAGAGCAGTTTTCATTGAGATGGATGGTTTATTCGTCGAAACATTTCCTAAATTCCATGATATTCCACATTATACAGTAAATTCTATTTTTATGACTGGTTTCCACAATTCCGTCTACGTTAGTGCTTTTATATTTGTGTTCCAATGATCCTGAATTTGTTCCTCTGTGTCTCTGATGTTTCCTCTTTATCTGCTCTTCTCTTGTATTTGTTACTTGCAGCCGAGAATGAGAGGAAGAGGATGGAACCGGGGAAACTACCCAGGCAACAACAACAACAACAACAACCCTCCCAATATGGGCGGCCCTTCACGGCCCCCGGATGAGGAGTGGGACCCTGAATACACCCCCAAGAGTCGGAAATACTTCCAGGTGTGCTAACATTGATCTCATATACACGTGCCCCTGTAAACATCACGTTAAAAACAAAAGCTGGTGGTGTCACTCAGTCTCTTCCTGTTTAAGTGAGCAATTTTGGGACAGTATAAGCTGCATGGTGGCCAGTTGGAGAGTTTCAATTTGCGTCTCTCTCATCTAACTGCAGCACGACGACCGGGACAAGGAAGGGGAGATGAAGTGGGTGGACACTCGGGGACGCGGCAGAGGAAATTACCCACGTGGCAGGGGCACCTTCTTGGTTCGCAAGAGCGGCGGCAGCCCCAAGTGGACCCACGACATGTTCCAGGGCAATGCTGAAGAGGGAGAAATTGAAGAGGGAGGCGCAGAGCACAAAGATGACGACAAGTCTGGGGAAAACACAGCTTCCAAGCCATAGACCAATTCGTATCCATTTGTGTCTGTTCTTCTCTACTGTCTCTAACTCTGTGAGAGCCCTGGTGAAAAATGCATCTTTATGTGTTCAGATGTTGGACTGCAGAACCCCAAATGGTAGAGCCATGTCATTTATAGCAACAAACCATCTGCTATTATTTTTCAGTTTTTTTCTTTTCTTTCATTTTTGGGGGTTGTGGGGGGTGATTGAAAATATAAATTCTGCCATTTGGTGGCTAAAATTAATTGATTTTCATTTAAAAAGTGCAATAAATCTGTGCACTTGTGCCTTAGATTTAACTGTAGTTTTATGATTCCTTTTTTACTTTTAATTTTCCCAGTAGATTTCCCCTTTTCTGTTTGGACGTGCATGTAAATTCATTTATACATGCTGCAATCTTTTATATTTCTTCTCTTTTGGTGTATGGTTCAGTCTCATTGGCGCATATCCCTTGTGGACCAATACACTGTGTACTGGGCCGATTTTCTCCAGAAAATTGTCTGTTAAAAATGTAAAGATTCATTCTTCCTAACCAATTGGCTCTCGGCTATATTTAACATCCGATTTAGTTAATTTTCTTCCCTTAAATTATGCCACTGACTAAAAAAAATTGTCCACTTACTTTGTGAAGTGTAATTTAAAAGGTTTTTTTTCCTGTTTTGAGCAACAACAAAAAATTGTCATAAGTTTTAGATTGTCATTCATCCGATTTTAAAGTGTAGATAATAATAGAACATGCAAGACGAAGCTTATGATGCATTTATTGCATTGTTGTGTTAAACTATCAAACAAATTGTAAAATAGTTCATGCTGCATGTTTAGATCATGTGGTTTTTCTGCCATTGATCTCTGTACGCTGCACTGTTCACTTGTGCTGTAAGGATATAACCGGAGGACTCAGCTGCTTTCTTTTCAGCGTAGAAATCCTGCTTTGTGATGACAGTAATGTAATGCTGTGACTCAACATTCTGTTAACATTTACAATCTGTTAACTCTGTGTTTTCTGTCTCCATGGTAAATTTGAAATAAAACCCGTCCTCTGTTTGGTACATGTCATCTTGTTTTTGTTTCGAGTTGCATTGGCCTTGCAAGACACATCGGTGGAGGGAACAGCTGGAGCCTTTTAGAGATTTTATGAAGAGGTAGTACTAGTTACTCAATGTGATACGAGCTGTTTCATGATTCAATTCACAGTTTATGTATATTTGTTGTACTGTACTGCAGGACTGGTTTGCGTTTTTACACATTTTAAAGTTTCAGTGTGTCCAATCTTGCTCCTGCAAAGCTGAGCTCCAACCTGCTGAAACACACAAACCTGTAAATTTCTAGTAATCCTGAAGACCATGATTAGCAGGTTCAGATGTGTGTGATTAAGATTACAGCTAAACACTCCGCAGGAAGGAGGCCCTCCAGAAGCAGGATTGGACACTTGGTTTACAGTGACAGAAGAAAAGCAGTGAGTAAAGTGCATTTAATATTCTTAATTTGTTCCTGTTCATTTTCACATTCGTAAAGAACATCCATTTTGTGATGCCAAGTATAGAATTTGAAGCCAAAATAAATCAATTCAAGTAAATGGTATTTTTAATAGTAAAGGGTTCAAACATATTGCATTATAAAGCATAAATGTTTTCTGTGCCTCCTGTTATTTCTTGTCTAATGTGAATTTGAACTGCAAATTAGATTATTTTTGTTGGACGCCTACTGTTAACTTGATAATAACGATAAAGAAAGTTTTATATATATATATATATATAAAATACATAGGCCTATTATATAGAAGTTATACTTATACGGTTATACGGACTGCTTTACGGCAGGAACAAATGCACGCACAGGTCCACAGTAATTACGACAGTGAATTCCACTTGTGTATATAGATATATAAAGGGGACTCCAAATTCGTAAAAAAATACGCAAAACTACACATTTGTTTTAAAGCTGCAGGCGACATAACTGCACCGCTATGGACTAAATGTGAATGTGCATTAATTCATCCCACTCACAAAAAACAGATTTAGTATTCATCAAAATGAATTAAAACCGTGAAATGCAAATTCAGAATATGACGCAAACCTGCAATAATTAAATATGTTAAATAACACAAATGTATCTAATCCAATTTTATTAACTGATATCTTTGCTGCTGACCTTTGATGATCCAGTTCAACCATGTTAATTATAAGTGTGAATGGGCCTTTGGGATGTCTTCATGACACGAATGCTACTTTCTCATTTATAATGCATGCGTGTCAGAATTAGGTAAAAAAAATCTTTGATTTTATTTTTATTTAAAAATACATATATATATATATACACAAACATTAAGTGCTAAAATGTGTTTATATATAAAAAATGCAAAAGAGAACAAATGGATCTATCAAAACTTGATCATTTAGAACAGGGGCGTAGCCATCATTTCAAAAGTGGGGGGGACGGAATGTCTAGTGTTATACCTGTTTTTTCCCTTGTCTAAAGACAAGCAAGGGCTTGTGAAAACGACTTCAAAACAGAATTATGGGGATTAAATGTAGGCCTACTCTTAAAAATTAAGCTTCTTTATTGGCATCAGTGGTTCAGTGAAAAACCTTTAAAATGTTCTTCACACTAAGAAAAAATGAATCTCTGAAAGTGTTCTTTGGGAAATACAAAATGGTTCTTTGATGGCATTGCTGTAAAAACCTCCCTTTGGAAGCCATATTTTTAAGAATGTACTCAATCCGTCCCATTTTAAAGGAACTTTACACCCAAGTATGTTGCACAGGTCCTGTGGCATTCCATATCTGCATGAAACAACTGCGTCCAGCACACAAAACGCTAGTGATAGTGAACTCGTCCGAGTGTTCCTGTGCCGGTGACGAGTATATCCGGCTGTCCGTTCCTCCAGATCTCCCTGACGATCCGTTCTCTCTCCTCCAGTCTCCTGGCTCTCTCCAGCTCCTCCGCTGAAGCAAACACGTTCACACTCTTAATGGTTCCATTTAACTGGGTCTGATCACTCAAGGGACTCACGGTGACCACTGGGACTTCTAGGTCCTCGTCGTCATCTTCCTCACTTTGGTCCTCTTCCTTGTCTTCCTCCTCCTCATCCTCGCTGGACTCTTTCAGCCGTCTCTTGTCTGGTGAGGAGGGTGTTTTTGTTTTTGAACGCGGTCGGCAGGCGATGCCCAATATGAGGAGGACAAGGGCCAGCAGAAGACCTGAACACACGCCCAGCGTGAAGTACAGCGCAAAGCTCTCCATGTTCTCTGTGTTCAAAGAGAAGGAAAATTGTCATATTTCATCCCGGAATCAAAAAAAAAAAGTATATATATTTAACATTACGTATCAATGTAGTTGGATTCTAAATTATAAATCAATTGAAATTTTGAAGTCTATTTGAATTGGGATACTGAATTGAACTTGATATTCTATGCACTGTGTTCTGTACTGCACATTTGGGAAAATCCAGGAATTCCGTGCATGCAGTATTCAAAATTTGCATCGTGTACAAAAAAGTTTGGATGCACATGAATTTATGTTTCTTATTATCTTGAAAATCTCTTGATCCAATCCTATGCTTAAGTATTACATTTCTATCATGACAACTCTCTGAAGAGTTTAGCATGATAATGGACATGACAATGTTAATGTATTTGGCCTTGGTGGTTGATCTGCTATGCTGCTGTATTGCTGCTGCTGTTGCTTATTGTAGTTGTAGATTATTGCTGCTGCTGGAAAGCAAATACAGGAATTTGCTCCTGCCAATACATACACTGATATGGTGCTGTGAGCATTTAAGACAAACTGCTGCTGCACAAATAGTATATAAAATAACCGGTAGCAGATCTATACAGGTGGAGCTGGGGAGGTGGAGGGTTTCAGAGTAACTCAGAAAGCACTCTTTGAAATGCTCTAGTGGATGCCAAGCAGAGATTTAAATGTAAAGCAGCAAGCTCATTGGCTGCATATGCAACATGAACCAATCAGCTTGTGCCAAGCACTTTAATGCTGTGAATATCATCGGTTTTCATTAACAACCTATCAGCCTGCACCATCTGCTTCATGACAGAACTTGGCATTTGTAGATAGTAAATTTATTATAGCTATACACTACCATTCAAAAGCTCAGAGTTAGAAAGATCTTTTATGCTCAGTAAAAACAGTAATATTGTGTATTATTATTTTAATTTAACATATCTGTTCTAATGATCCTTCACAGATCATTCTATTATGCTGATTTCTAGTCATTTTAGTTTTAATTTTGAGTAGATTTTGATATTTTCTTCCTAGACTGACTTGACACTAAAGAAAAATTTTAAACCCCAAAGAAAAAGAGAAACGTCTTTGGGAACATTTAATCCATTTCTCATGAAGTCAGACGTGTGAAGCCAAATCAAACAGAACACTCAAGTCCATGGAATGGGTTGTTATTTTCTTCTTGGGGTCAGAAGTGTTTAGCCAGCTGCCTTTCACCGCTTGATATCTTAAGCTGCACAGTAATGAGTGGTTAGTGTTGAATGCTCTTACCTGTTATATGGGCATAAGTAGCCATGCTGTTACTCAGTAACTCCATGTCTTTCCGTATGGGGTTCATATTGGCTTTATCTGGCAGACTGATTTTCCTTTCTCTTGCTTTCGTCTCTACTTTATTTCACCTTGACCCCTGTGGTAGAACAAAATACATATAGCTCAGAAACAGCAGACATACGGTTAAGACAAACCCCAAAACAAGCTCGTGTTGCTCTTCAGTTGCTAGGGTGTTATGATTAGTTGCTGATTTTAGGTAGCCTATCATTCATGTTTGTAGCACAAACAGTGTTGAGTTGCATGCAAAGTTTAATACTTAGTGTTAGGGCTTTTGAAAAACCAACAGTGATGCTTGTTGCAGCATTGCAAGGACAGCTAAAACAACATGCCCTGCTATTCATAACTAGACAAATAGGCCCTAACTTGTTTATTTTGGATCCTGAGGCTGAAATTGCGCTAATTGTGCCATTAAGCAGCATTATATGCTCCCAGACAGACTTTCCCATTTTTCCCACAGGAACTGAGATTCTGTGAGGACGTTCACATGCCGTTCGGGGGTCTGCGTGGGACTCTTCCCTGGGAAACTGGGAAGGATCCAGCTTGTGTCACTCTTTCCGAGATGGAAAAGAGGAGGGGGAGAATTAAAGCTGAACATCTGGATTTCCCAAGCCGGAGTGAGAATCTCCTCCGGCCCAAGCGAGGAAACGATAAAAGCATCAGGCTATAAATGCGGTGACTCCCTGTGTGCGTCCACACCATAAAAGCAGCAGATGCTGAGACCATGCCGGGATCACGGAAGAGGTGCCATGTTATTGTCTTCCTGTTCGTTTCCTCTTGGGGCCTGTAATTACAGCAAATCTACCCCATCAAGGCCCAAAGCCTCAGCCGCCCCGATCCCTATCTGCCACGCTCTTGGCAGGACTAGGCCACACATTTAAGTACACTAGAATGAAGCACATTATGTTGACTGTATAAAGTGAAATCTCATTTGTTGTTTTTTCTCTCTTTGCTTCAGAAATCAGAAAAAGACGACAGTCAAAAAATATGATCATGTATTCAAACTTTCTCAATTATTTCTACAAAATCAAATTAGAATCATCAAATTATCATCAAATTGTTTTAATTAAAAAATATATATAAATGTTATTGAATATACTACTACTACTACTAATTATTATTATTATTAAATGTAATATACAGTATTTAATAATAATAATAGTGGTGGTGGTGATGATGATGATAATTATATTATAATTATATAATAATAATAATAATAATAATAATACAATTATTATTGTTTATTATTATTATTAAAACATTTCTGTTATAATAATTGTAACAATTATAATACTTTATATAAAAAAATAGCATACAAGCAAATTTGATGATCAAAAGATCATATAAATATTATTGAACATAATAATAGTAATAATAATAATACTTAATATCAATTAGCAAATTTGATCAAAACAAAGAGCATATTTTAAACAATAAAAATTCAATTTAATAGAATCATACAGTAGTATTTAATGATAATGATGGTGGTGGTGATGATGATGATAATTGTATAATATTAGTGCTGTCAAACGATTAATCGCATCCAAAAACAAGGTTTTTGTTTACATAATATACTGTATGTGTGTGTACTGTGTATATTTATTAGTGCCATGTTATTGTCTTCCTGTTCGTTTCCTCTTGGGGCCTGTAATTACAGCAAATCTACCCCATCAAGGCCCAAAGCCTCAGCCGCCCCGATCCCTATCTGCCACGCTCTTGGCAGGACTAGGCCACACATTTAAGTACACTAGAGTGAAGCACATTATGTTGACTGTATAAAGTGAAATCTCATTTGTTGTTTTTTCTCTCTTTGCTTCAGAAATCAGAAAAAGACGACAGTCAAAAAATATGATCATGTATTCAAACTTTCTCAATTATTTCTACAAAATTTCTACAAAATATATTATAATTATATAATAATAATAATAAATACAGTAGTATTTAATGATAATGATGGTGGCAATATAAATACAGTAGTATTTAATGATAATGATGGTGGCAATATAAATACAGTAGTATTTAATGATAATGATGGTGGCAATATAAATACAGTAGTATTTAATGATAATGATGGTGGTGGTGATGATGATGATAATTGTATAATATTAGTGCTGTCAAACGATTAATCGCATCCAAAAACAAGGTTTTTGTTTACATAATATACTGTATGTGTGTGTACTGTGTATATTTATTATGTATAGATAAATACACACACATGCATATATATATTTAAGAAAAATATGTTATGTTTATATCTTCAATATATTTATATATAATATAAAATATAAGAATATAAATATATAAATGTAAATATTTTCAAAACATATTCTGTATGTGTGTGTATTTATATATACATAATAAATATACATAGTGCACATGCATATATTATGTAAACAAAAACATATTTTGAATGCGATTAATCGCGATTAATCGTTTGACAGCACTAATAATAATAATAATTTTATTATTAATACTGTTGTTATTATTATTATTATTATTTATAATAATAATATTAATTTTAAAAACGTTGTTGTTATAATAATGGTAACAATTATAATACTTCATGTAAAAAAAATTAGCATATGAGCAAATTTGATGGTCATATAAAAATGATCGTATAAATATTATTGAACATAATAGTAATAATAGTAATAAATTTTTTTTATTAACTATACTTTATATAATCAATTAACAAATTTGATCTAAACAAAGGGAATATTTTAAACAATAAAATGTTCATGATACTTTAAATGCAAAAAATGCTTTTCCTGTGGCGTCTCAGTTTTGTTATTCTCTGCAGTCCTGTAAAGCCCCTCCAGTGTGGTTTAGCAAAACACAAACTACATTCCCTCATATAAACAAAAGACAAACAGGAACTAGGATACCAGGAATATGAGATTACACTAGAAGCTTGTAAACATTGTCAAGTCCTGCTCAAAGTACCAATTAGCGTGGGACGTATGCCACAAGTTCCAAAAATATTCCTGTTAGTGACACAGCATACCAGAGAGTGGCTAAATGACCTGCATTCTGCCCCACAGCCGTGAGTCAACGACAGTTCCCAAACATACCATCAGACACCTGTCAGAGCCTTTCCCAGAAGAGCAAACCTGCAGAAGGACATGTAGCAGCAGAACCTGCTGAACTCGTGCTTTTCTGCACATTCTCCCATCAGCAATCTTTAAAAGCATCTTTTTTTAAAAAGAGGTATTACATAGTTACATTATTAACAACATTGGCTGCTAGACCACAAAAAGGGGTTTTAATGCATGTTTTCAGTGATTTTGTTTATAGTCTGTTCCAAGAGGTTTAAGTATTCAGTCATTTATAGAATGTAAGAAATTTGGTTTGCAAAGAGTCACTGCTTTTTAATGTATAGTATTTTCTTGATAAAATAAATAATTGCATAACACACTAATATATAGTTGCTAGGGAATTGTGGGTGGTTGCTAGGTTGTTTCTATGCAGTTGCTAGGGTGTTGTGGGTGGTTGCTAGGTTGTTTCTATGCAGTTGCTAGGGTGTTGTGGGTGGTTGCTAGGGCGTTGCTAATGTGTTATGCAATGTCTAGGCTGTTGTGAGTAGTTGCTAGGGTGTTGCTATGCAGTTTCTAAGATGTCGTGGGTATTTGTTAGTATTTTCTTGCAATGTAGTGGTATTGTGGGTGGTTGCTATGTTTTTTACGCAGTTGCTAGGGTGTTTTGAGTGGCTGGTAGGGCATTGCTATGCAGTTGCTAAGGTGTTGTAGGTGGTTACTAGGGCATTGCTATGCAGTTTCTAGGCTGTTGTAGGTGGTTACTAATCTGTTTCTACGCAGCTGCTGTGGGTGGTTGCTAGGGCATTGTTACGCAGTTGCAAAAATGTTGCTATACAGTTGCTAGGATGTTATGGGTGGTTGCTAGGGCATTTTTAACGCAGTTGCTAGGATCAAAAGTGTCCGGCCTTGTAAGTCTCTGTGATATTCTGATTTTTAAACGATTTGCAGTATATGGTGATATTCTGGTTTTCAGGTTGATAAGACTAGAGTCACTCCTTCAGTGTAAATCTGTGGGATTTTTCACCTGGTTATATTTTTTGGAAGAAAAAATCTCCAATTGCTTTAAACAAACAAGCAAGCTCTTTAAACTAAAAAACTATTTTTTTTAACTTTTAACTTATCCACCCATATTACATTTTTGATACATCTGACATCTGAACAATTTTCTGAAGTCAAAGATAGCTTTGATGTTTTATTCCTTTAACAAAAATGAAATATTTGATGTCTTACCTTTTCTAACGAACCATCGTTTCTATCCAGACTCTCCTGGTGGAGGAAAGTTGAGTCCTGTATCCAGAGGCGCAGTGGCCTCACACACTGGCAGATGAAGCGGGAACACAAAATCCTCTAATTTTTAAAGCCACTCTAAAATTAACTAAATTAATAAATAAATGTATTTTGCTTTATAAAACAAAATATTAAACCTTTACTTATTTTTAGTCATTTCAAAGAAAGCACAAACACAAAAACATTTAACAAAAATAAGTGTCATAGTTTTACATTTTCTCATACACACTACTGTTTAAAGTTTAAATAAAATAAATTACACTAATATTTTTAACACATGGATGCATTACATTGATCAGAAGTAAATGCGTATCATTCTGTTTCAAATAAATGCTGTTCTTTTAAACTTTCTATTCATCAAAGAAAGTTCAAATGAAAAAGAGATTAAGAACTTTGTTACAATAGTTAACAATTAGTTTAAATTGTGTAATAATGTTTCACAGTATTACTGTTTTAGTGTATTTGTAATGCATTAGTCATTTTAAATGTTAATTTTCCCCCCAAAATTAAGAATCAATATTGTGCCACTTTGCATTTCTGAGAACATTAAAATCTCTAATACACCAGTTGATTAAAATACTTTTTTGCATGATCAAGCCAGTCTTTAAACTATGTATGAATATTTATAAAGGAAGCCAAAATAAATGTCCTATACAACATGCAGAGCTCAAAAGTAATAGGTGGCAAATGTAAAACTGAACCCAGCCTCTTTATGCTTCTGTTTGTCTTCACTTTCAACATTCAAACACGCCCCTAAATGATGTGTCTTTCATCGTGTGCAGGCTTGAATAAGGCCGACCGCCCAACCTCTGGGACGGGCCACGTCGAGCATGCCAGAAAGATCTGTCTGTTGAGGGTTAACGCTGCGGGGTGGAACAGGAAATGTCTGCAGTGGGCACAGCGCCTGGCGCTTCAGGCTATGGCTGGATTAAAAGAGCTCTTTTTGTTCCCGTCTGAGGAGAGTTAAACACCTGAAGCGACTCTTAACCGAATGGCGTCCTAAGCTTAGCAACAGCCAATGAAAACCTGTGAACCATGCTCCTCAGATAAGTTGAGTCTGATGGATATAAAAGGACATAATGTGGGCAGCATACTCACATCGGCAGGTGCATGCTGGGAAAAAGCGAAATACAAGTTGAGTTGAATTGCCCATTGAGATTGAACGCCTTGAACATCATGCACCAGCATTCAAACCCTTAAAAAAGGATTTTTCCCTAATTGGGATTGAAGGTTTCTTCATAAGCAGCATATGTAATTTTCATGTTGTGCAATGCTTTTTTGTTTACCAGAATATTCCTGTGTCCGGACAGGAATGAGGTTTGAGTCATTGCAAGGACGATGATTATGTGGTCACTGAAAATCCTGCATCCTCATACGCAATGCCAAAACATATGTAGCATTCTGAAAGCAAAATAATATTGCTCCAAAATAAGATGTAAAATCTCTTGCCACATTGGCCACGAACTGAGACAAAAACAGACAATTTAGGAGGCAAAAGCATTTGAATTCCTTCTGTGTGTTAGTCCAATCTGAAGGCTCGGGTTAAAGGAATGTTTCACGCAAAATTTAAAATGTGAAACAGAGCCATTATTAAGGCGTTTTTTAACTTTAATCCGCTGCTTCTGGCTTAAAAAAACAAGTCCTCTATCTATAATATTGCTTTCAACAGTGAAAAAAGTATTCTTATCTCAATCAGGGGAGAAATATGCACAGATCAAGCACCGTTTACAAGCAAAAACAGTTAAAAACTGTTCTAAACAAATATGTTGGTGGATTTTGATGTGAGAGGACAACAGGGGATGGCCTTAATGATGGATTTGTCTCTTACAGACATGCAGATTTTTGTTTTACAAGACATTAATTGATGGACTGGAGTGATATGGATTATTGTGATGTTTTTATCAGCTGTTTGGACTCTCATTCTGACGGCACCCATTCACTGCAGAGGATCTATTGGTGAGCAAGTGATGTGATGCTATATTTCTACAATTCTATTATGATATAGAGACAAACTCATCTACATCTTGGATGGTCTGAGTAAATTTTCAGCACATTTTCATTTTTTGGTGAACTACTACAAAATAGTACTAATTTGATAGTTCATTATACTGTACTATACATACAGTTCAAGTTACTATGTAATTGTATATCTTTATCTCCAACAGCTTGCCATGTTAGAAGATTACTGTGCAATCCAATCCAGGACTATTCTCTTTATTATTTATATGATCGTCTGAAATTATCACCAATCCTGATCTTACGAAACTTCAGCAATAAAAAAACATTAACAGTCATTAAACTGAAAACAATGTTTTTGCACAAATAAAGGCTGCAAAGTACCAATATTTGCATATAAACATAATTACTGTGGTTGAGAGATATTGACATTGCAATTAAGAGACAGAACAAATATTAAAAAGTAAAAAGATGTGTTGTTTAAACAAACACAATGTCAAATTAAGGAACTCATCGATCAGTGGTTATTTCACCGTTTACTGCTTTTTCAAACCACTAGAGTAAACAGAAATAACTTTTCCCACACTTTTCCTAGAGATGATATTCAGAGCTCTTTCAGTCACCAACTAGCAACATTTTCAAAGTAAACTATGCATTACATTTTGCTCCATGACTGCATTACTTAATGAAAATTAACAGTATATTATAGTAAACCATATATTTGCAAGACAAACGTGAGTTTCTCATAAAAACTATTTTTTCTTAGAGTATTCTTTGCATCCACCGCTTGCTCCAAAGTTTCGCACGTGGTGTATTTTGGCAAGCTGGGTCTCTATTGTCTCTATAATGTTCATGTGGTCTGGGATGTGGACATAACGCACGTTTCAGCCCGTGATGAACAAGTCGTCCATACTGGACACACGTCCACGTCTGTCCCTGTACAGAACCTTCTCCAGCCGGATGTTCATGAAAGCGTCTACGTTAATAACGCGTCCCCTCGCCGTGCTCTCGTCTCGCAGGTCAATGGTGGTCACCTGGCCATGCAGACCCTGAAGAAGAATCACCAGACTGTTCTCGGCGATGGTGCGTTCACGAATGGAATGGCTCACGTCCATGTTCACCTGTGCACAGAGAAGTCATTAACATGTGGACAATGTCATCTGTCTTACAGTGGGAGTAATTTAACAACCAACCACTTTCTTTTTTTGTTTCTTTTTATGACACCAAAGAAGATGAAAAGCAAACTTGTTATTCTCTGCTAATTAATTATAAAAAAGTAGCCACAAATAAATGTATGATTTGTATTACACCATTAGCTACCTGCTCAACGTTTCTATTTAAATGTTTTTGAGCACGTGCACTAGGGCTGTCGCGATTCGTCGATTTTATTTGACTATTCGATTTTTTTAAATCCTCGACTTAATTTTGCTCGCGGTTGACTAACCGGCAAAATACCGGAAGTGGCGCATTTCATGGACGAGAATCCATAAAACACATTATTAGACTGTTTGCCAAGGCTGCATAATATATTTAACCCATTTAAAAATCATAATTAAGCATAATTGTGAATTCACAAACGCTACGATTTAATTAATTATATGCAATGCCGTTCTAATACAGTATATGTGCTTTAATTATTTACATGCGTGTAGGTTAAGCACATGTGTCACACAGCGGCTCCGTTCACAGTAGTTCCACAGGAACTGTTATCATTTACATGTGTGTGGATCGTCTCAAACTCCATCTCTGCATGTTGTTGTGAGTTTGGGTTTATTATAACGTTCATCTGGGAACGCAACATGTGCCATTTCATCAGATTTGTAAGGTAAATCATTTATAAATCCATGCAAAATGGCCAAATATTAAAGATTAAGTGGTCATTTGAAAGAAATGGTGCTTGGTAAATATTAAACAAGTATTAGATCGCACAGTAATGTGTAAAAATAATCATCAGGCCGTTGGCTCCCTCTGCAGGCCTTTGTTGTAATGCGTAATGTACATTAGCTCTATTGTTTATAATACATTATGTATTTTAACAGTTTTGTTCAATAAAACCATATGATTTCTTGCTTTTGATACTTTACTTTAACTAATTATTATTGCCTCATTGCTATTATATATGCATTTTAAGTAATTTTAAAGGCTATTGTTCACTTACATCTATTTTTATTACCACAAAAGAATTAATTATAATTACAAATCCATTTTGTTTCCAAATTCAGTTTTGTTGCATTTTCATTTTTCTATACTCCGTTTTAATGGTTAAATTAAATTGCATTAATCAAAAAGTCTGTCTAATTAATTGAGTTTTACAGTTTTATCTTGACCAAATTCTGTTTTCCAGTATTTTCTGGATTCCATTTTAATGGTTCCATTAAATTTTAATAATCAAAAGCATCTCCAATTAATTGATTTTATTTATTAAAAAAAAAAAGTTTTTTATACTGCACATTTACATTTTTCTCCTAAATAAATTCTGGTAAATAACATTTCTGGTAAATACTCCTTTAAAAAGTGTTTTTGATTATAATTGTATTATTAGTAGACTAGAACACGTGGATATGTTGTCATTCTTACACTATAATACTGAACTTTGATTTCAGTGATTTGGATTATGAGATGGACACTTGCTTTTGCTTTAAAAAAGGATTTCATAGAAATTTGGATTTCATTTGGTTTAATAAAATATAGTTTAATAAAATAATTCTAAGTAAAATTGTAAAAATTTTTTGTGGGAAATTAATCGTTTAGCTAAACTGATTAATCAGTCGATAGATTAATCAAAATAAAAATAGTCGTTAGTGGCAGCCCTAATATGCACACTTGCACATAATTAATGATAATTACAGGTTTCTGAGAGGCTCTGCTGACAGACAAATGTAGCGAATCAGCTCATGGGGAAATATGAATAATTAACCATAACTAGTTATAATTAACTATTCATATTTTAGATCCACTGTAGATATTTAGCTGACCACTCAGGGTCAACTGTCTTGTCAATTCTAAGACGTTAATTTCCTGGTTAAGGGAAATAACTTTCTTACCACAACCTTGCATGGGAAATATGCCAAATAGGTTTGTTGTCTAACCAGGTGTGATATAGAATGAAAAGCAATAATGTCAAAGTCAGTAAAAATGAACTTTTATGGATAAATATGGATGTATTTATCTTATATAACAAAATATCAAAGTATTTAAAGCACAAAAACATTCAACAAAAAGTAACACAAACATAAGTTACATTTCATATATATATCAATAATACTTATATGCTATTGATATTGAAATAGTGACTTGTTGCAAAGACTAAATAACTAACTTACCTAGATACATGCAAGAAAAATATTATTTTCGAGCGAAGTACTGTTTAAAGAACAGTCACTAGTGATCACTTAAAACGATACTAGTCACAAATATTAAGCTTTCCTGCAACTTTATCTTTAACGTCCTTATTGAGGCCATAGACTGCAGATTGAGGCACGCGAGATTTGTTTTCATTTAGAGAGGAAATAATTACAAAATAATTACATTTTGAACCCAGAGTCAGTCATAAATTCCACTTGAGGTAAAAGTATTTGTTTTATTACCTTGCTTTGTGTTGTCTAACATGCACAAAACATCATGTTTACATCCTAAATGGTTTCGAGTGCCGCGCTTTGTCGCAGAGGAGAGTGACGAGAGTGATTTTTTATTATTGAAAGTCAGCTATTTCAGCCGTTGATCAAGAAGAAAAAGGTTCACTGCTGTAGCGGGGCACGTTGTCACAATGGGCATCTGCTGTTGATTTGAGAATTGCTTTGTTTGATATATGAAATACTGTCTGGAAAAAGCAACATACCAGTAATGTTATTATGTTATTTAATGGCTAAATCGGAACAGTAAAAATACTAAAGATAACATGCAAAAATGCCAAACTACTCTTGTGATTTAACTGTAGCTAATTATATGTATCAAATGTTTTTTCTTCTCCCACAACCTTATTTTTTATGTGCTTACATTTTAGATTTTTATGTTAAAACATTGTTGTACACAGTACATAGGCTATACATTAAAATGTACTTTGTTAAAAGTTTTGTGCTGACTTGGAAAACATAATATAGAGAATGTCAATTAATAGCCTAAAGAAAGAAATAGATAAAAAATAAATCTAACCCATGTGACATCTTGTCCCAATCTGACATGTATAAATTATCCTGAGAACACAGTTCAACATTTCAGTCTCTTTATATTGAAGGTGATATTGTTGACACTTGTCTGAATGTGTGTTGGTGTGGTTTTCTGTCAGCAGAATGAAACGCCTTCAGTCTGTTCCACTGAACTCAAAATGATTGACTTTCATTTTGCTGCAAAGAAACTAGATAAAGAGATAAATCAGTCATTGTCCGTCAATCAAATAAGACATATTAAACTGACATTATAGACGCAAGTGTTTTATGAAAACGAATTTAGAAGAAACTGTCAACATTTTTAATTTTCAACATTTTTTCAACCAGTTTAAAACATCACATAATTTAGGAAATCATAAACACAACCCATTAGAATGCGATTTTGCTTCCAGCTTGTTCTTAGTCATGTTTTGAACGTATAAATGCCAGGCATTTCCAAACCTACCATATTTTTCTGTAACCTTTCAGAATTACCACATGTATCCTGACACAAAGTCTACAGTCACTGACCTTTAGAGCTCATCCATCATAGCCAGCAAGTCGTCCCCCTTGTTCCCGGATCCCTCTGTCAGGCTTCCCCCTTCATCAAATTCTCCCGCTATGCGTGCCAGCTCAGTACTGGCCAGCTGATCCTGAGAATACCAAGGTAAACATTTTTTAAAAAGTGATTTATATTGAGCCATTTACTGAAACTTAGAGTTTGGTTTTTATTAGTTATTAGTTTACTAAAAAATATTATTAGTAAATTTATGAGAGTGTCACTAATGTAAAACATTTTTTTATGATGTTCTAATGATGTGTTTTGAGATTACCACAAACTCAGTATGTACTTATATGCACTTAACTGTGTCTAGGGCAGGTAATGCTAAAATATTATTCCAAACTCATAAAACATTCCTGAATTACCATTGCTGAATGGTTGCTTCTTTTGGTGTTAACTTTCCAGTAACTTAAATTTGATAGGAGTTAAAATCATATGCCAAAAAGCTCTAAATTAAGCTCGCCCCTGGAGCAATGCTGTGGTTTCTTAGTAAATGATAGTAGATTTTACTAGTAGCATTCCCAGCCCTGGGCAACAAAATAAAGTAAACAAGGACATGAGCAGATTTGTAAAGTGCATGGCACAGCACCTGCGTGGCTTGTATGTTAATGACTCTAGATGACTGATGTGCCGTTTCTTCTGAAATTCCACTGAAAAACATTTGAAGAGATTGGTTATTTAAAATAACAAAAATGTTTACCTGTGATTTTCAATCCGCCCTTTGGGAAAAAAAACAAAACTACATACTACCCAACTTATTTTGTCATTTATTTCTTTATTCTTTGCAAGACATTTGCAATTTTTTCTATATTGGATTGTAGGTAAATATCCAACTCACCCAGCACTCTTTTTTTCTTATAAAATATCTCATTATTATTTCGCTGTGAGAAACCACTCGCTAATGAATCAAACTGAATCACAAACAATTTCTGAACTTTTCGAATCTGGTATCACTAGTTCTTTTTCTAAACAGCTGACAGAAAGAACACATGACTTGATTATTGAAATATATAATACAAAATTATTCTCAGGTCAATTCACATTCACATATACCAATATTGGGGCTTGTACCCAAACATATCTAGCAACACTCCATATTGTGTGTATGTGCATTTTTGTCATTTTGTATTAGTTTTTTTTTTTTGTATGTATGCCTCTAAACTCCGCCATTGCCGGTCCCAAGGCCGGATGTAAAAGGAGGAGAGTTGGGCGAAGGGCTAGCAACCCCTCCCCGTAAAAAAAGATCTTGCCAACAAGGATTTTAACTGACCTATCGGTTCTGGGAGAGGCCCGGTAGTAAAAGCCAGACACTGGAAGCTACCAGGCCGAAGACCATCATTTCTACCAGGACCACCACCATCATCAGAACATGAAATGTGCGCACCATGTTCGAATCTGGAAAGACAGCGCAGGTGGCAGCGGAAATGAGGAATTATAACATCTGCATCCTCGGCATCCGCAAGACTAGATGGATAGACTCCGTCCAGAAAAGGCTCGCTACAGGAGAATTACTGCTGTTCTCAGAACATGAGGAAGAAAATGCGTCACACACCTAGGGAGTGGCCTTCATGCTTTCCAAGGCTGCACAGAGAGCACTCATTGGATGGGAGGCACATGGACCAAGACTCATCACTGCTTCGTTTAGAACTAAGAAGAGAAGACTAAACATGAATATTATCCAGTGTTATGCCCCAACAAATGACAGCGAGGAAGATAAGGAATACTTTTACAACAGATTGCAGACCATCATTGACAGTCACTCAGGAAGAGACATCACCATGGTAATGGGAGACTTTAATGCAAAGATCGGGCGAGACAACTTGGGATATGAGGTGGTCATGGGACGAGAGGGCTTGAGGGAGATGAATGAAAATGGAGAGAGGTTTGCTGACATTTGCACTGTAAAAAACTAGTCATAGGAGGAAGCGTCTTCCCTCACAGACAAATACACAAGGCTACCTGGATATCACTGGACCTCTCCACCAAGAATCAGATTGACCATGTATGAATTACCAAGAAATTTAGGAGGTCCCTCCAAGTGCATGTCAGACGAGGCGCTGACGTTGCTTCGGACCACCAACTCCTTGTTGCCCGTGTAAAGCTGAAACTTAGGGGAAATTGGACAAGGGAGTCAAATCGGAGATATAGATTCAACACAACACTTCTGAGCGATTCAACCAAACTGGAGGGATTTAAAATTACACTTGCAAACACATTTCAAGTCCTGCAAGAACAAATGGAAGAAGATGATGAAGAGGAAACGGTAGACAAGAAATGGAAGACGGTAAATGAGGCGATGAAGAAAACCTGCCAAGAAGTCTTGGGCCCACTAAAATACAATCACAAGGAGTGGATCTAGGAAGACCCTTTGAAGAAAATAGAACATAGAAAAGAGAAGAAAGAAGAAATAAACAACAGCCGCACACGTGCAGAGAAAGCCAAGGCACAGGAACAATATACACAAGCAAACAAGAGTGTCAAGAAAAGTATAAAGGTATATAAAAAGAAATATGTAGAGACCCTAGTAGCAGGAGCAGAAAAAGCCGACAGAAATAGAAACATTAAAGACTTGTTTGCCACCACCAAAAAGTTAGCTGGAAAGTTTAGTAAACCAGAAAGACCAGTAAAAGACAAGGATGGAAAACAGATAAATGACGATGAAGGACAGAAGAGAAGATGGGCTGAACACTTTGAGGAGCTGTTTAACAGGCCAGCCCCACCAGATATCCAACCAGCAGTTAGAGATTTGCCAGTAGACGGTAGTGCACCAACAAAAGAAGGAATCTGTAAAGCCATTATGAAATTGAAAAGCGGTAAGGCAGTAGGACCCGACAGTATTCCAGCAGAGGCATTAAAGGCTGACACAGAGACTACAGTAGAGATGCTCCATCCCCTTTTTAAGAAGATCTGGGTAGAAGAACAAGTACCCACAGAATGGAAAGAGGGTTATCTCATTAAGATATCAAAGAACGACAACTTGAGCTCCTGTTCTAACTATAGAGGGATTATACTACTATCCATCCCAGGGAAAGTTTTTAATAGGATTCTACTGGAAAGAATGAAAGACGTTGTCGACCCCCAGCTACGAGACCAACAGGCTGGCTTTCGCAAAGATAGATCATGCACAGACCAGATCGCAACTCTGTGCATCATCCTGGAACAGTCTCTCGAGTGGAACTCATCCCTGTACATAAATTTTATTGACTTCGAGAAGGCGTTCGATAGCATGGACAGGGCATCACTTTGGAGGCTGCTTAAACATTACGGGGTGCTGGAGAAAATCACTAACATCATCAGGAACTCTTACGAGGGACTGACTTGTAGAGTGGTTCACAGCGGTCTTGTAGAGTGGTTCACAGACGCCTTCCTGGTACAAACAGGAGTGTTGCAAGGTTGTTTGTTGTCGCCGTTTTTGTTCCTGCTGGCCATTGATTGGGTCATGAAAACATCCACAGCGGAAAAGCGAAACGGCATCCAGGGGACTCTATTGAACCAACTGGACGACCTTGACTTTGCGGACGACTTGGCCCTTTTTTCCCACACCCAGCAGCAGATGCAGGAAAAGACCAGCATTGTGGCAGAAAACTCCACTCACCTTAGCCTCAACATCCACAAAGGGAAGAGCAAGGTCCTGAAGGTCAACACTACCAACACATCACCCATAGTGCTGGAAGGAGAACCGCTAGAGGAGGTAGACGACTTCACATACCTTGGCAGCATCGTAAATAAACAGGGTGGAACTGACCGATGTGAAAGCAAGGATTGGCAAGGACAGGATAGCTTTTCTCCAACTAAAGAATATCTGGAGTTCAAGAGACTTGTCCATCAAAACAAAGATCAGGGTGTTTAACACAAAAGTGAAGTCAGTGCTGCTCTATGGCTCTGAAACATGGAGGACCACTGTAACCACCACCAAAAAGATACAGACATTTATCAACATATGTCTGCGGCACATTCTCCAGATCAGATGGCCCGATACCATCAGCAACCAGGAACTCTGGCAGCGCACAAGCCAAAAACCAGCAGACGAAGAGATCATTCAATGTCGCTGGAGATGGTTAGGACACACTCTCCGTAAACCAGCTTCCAACATCACTAGGCAAGCCTTGACATGGAACCCCCAAGGGAAAAGAAAGAGGCCGACCTCGAAAGAGAGAGAGGCCGAGGAAGTCGATGTCAAGAATACAGGCTGCACTTGGGGACAGCTGGAGAGACTGGCCCAGGACCGGGATGCCTGGAGAACCCTTGTCGGTGGCCTATGCCCCAGTAGGGGTAATAGGCATAAGTAAGTATGCCTCTATAGTTTTTATAAATTTTTATTTTAGTTTGAGTTATTTTAGTACATTGTTAAACTAAATAAGAACCATTGCCTTGGCAACTAGCTAAAGCAAAAATAAGTTTAAGTTTTTTTTTATTATTATTATTATTGTACTCAAAGTTCTGAATAAACTTAAAATTGAATAATGTAAACTTATTTTATTTCATATATTATTTTATATTTTACATTTATATATAAGATCCAAAAAGTATAAAGCAGCAACATAAAAGTACAATAGAAAATCAAGCATGCCTTCGAGGTTGTGTGTGGCTTGTTGCAGGATTATGTCTGGATTAGTAATGCTTACATGCCCTCCTCCTCCTGGTCTGAGGCTAACAGGTTCACTTTGAAACCAGCGTCCACATTCAAGATTTTCTCCATCTCCATTCCACCCATTAGTTTAGCGAGCAGGTTGAGTTCCTCTGTGGCCAGAGGATTGGGCGTTGTGTCTGCCTGTCCACAACATGTTCAGATATTCATACAAAAACACAGTAAAATCCAGAGAACATTGAGTTGCAAAGATAAAATTTCAATAAATCTACATGTTATTAATGTTATATTATATTACATTAGTAGTAGTCTTTTGTTTTCCTTCACATGAGCTGTACTATTGGAATCTTGCATGATGCCTGCAGTCAGGGTGTACCTGCTTTGGTTTCCTTGTGCTGTTAGAGGTAGTTGATGGATCCATTTCTTCAGGTGAGGGTGTGTTGTACCTGTACAGAGGTCAACAGAGATTCACATACAAACAAGATTTAAAAAAACTTTTTTTTTTTTATACTTTTTTCCCCCACTGTATTTCATTGGAAAAATAAAGTAAAACTGTAATAACAGTAAAATATATTATTACAATTTAAAATAGCTTACTGTCCTCCATTTGAATGTATTTTAGAATGTAATTAATTTATGCTGCTTACTATTTTTGTGGAAACTGTGATATATATATATATACACACACACACACACTAGGGCTGTGTTCCAGTCCGTTTTTTATGCCCTTCACTCGGCACCACAAACTTCCCTCCGTCTCGTTCACTCGGATGTATGTCATTGATTACGTTGCATGAGTGTCCACTTCTGGTGGAACCCTTGGAATGGGCTGAACTGGAACGTCCTAAGCCCTTGACCACTTAGAATCCGCTATGGAGTTGGTTTATTGTTTACATTTTTCCCCTTACGAATTTGTTTGGTGCAGCATTCTATAGGTATGTTTGGGCTATTATAAATGTTAAAGAAAATCATTTATATATTATAGAGTTGTTTGGGGTGGGGATAAATTAAACGCGATCTGCAATGACATCATAATCGTGTTGCATTGTGGTCTACAGAGCGGCCTGAAGTGTGCATATGAAGTAGAATCGCTCCCTCTGTCAAAATCGAGAGGTCGAGGGTATGTCCATGTAAACTTCCCTCGTCCACTTGACGAAGTGGAACGCACTTCAAAAAAAATGTTTTGTAACAAGGTAAAACTCTTTGGGGTCACCTGATTAATTTAATGCATCCTTGCTGATTTTTTAAAATATGTATTTATATTAAATAATTATCTCTATTAGATAACATGGTTAATTTTATTTTATATTGCATTTTAAATATACTTAAATGTGTAATACATAAAAAAATATATGTACTTTATTTTGTTTACATGTTAACAATATTGGAATTTTAAAACCATTTATAATTCTTAACTACTAGTTTTGATATTTACATGTTGGTGCCCAAAAATGTGACCCTGTCTCCAGAGAGGTCAAATGAGCCCTGGCGTACAGCACTTGTGTAGCTTCCTCCACTGGGAAACCTGGTCCTCCTCACCTCTCGGCCTTTAGCATTAAAATACCTGTGAGACAAGAATGTTCAAAGGAATTCTGAAGGAACAAAGTGACTGTTTGCGTATGGGTGTGTATGACTGTAATAATGTGATCTTATTTCCATGAAGCCTGTGTGGTTTTCACTGAAAATCTACTGATGAAGAACTCACTATAAGAATCCTGCTTGTGACCTCTGACCTTCATCTGCGTTACCTGATTAAACCAGGAACCTCAAATCCGTAAGGCACCGGCCCTGAGGTCTGCAGCACAAAATGGCCATTTGGGTTCTGGATTTTTTCTTTCAAGAAAATTGAGACCTGATGAAAGAACATATTACAAAATCTCACGCAATCAGTAAGTGTCACTACAAGCGCATGACGGAATGACTGCGCTTGGATGTTCTTATAAAAAACGTCATGACTCAGTAATGATTTGCATACAACCATATGATCTGGCAGCGATCCATTTCAAACACTAATGACAATATGCTTTCATAAACAAACAACTTACCCTGATTTGCATATCTTGAAAGAGAACCAGCAGTGTATGTCGGATGAGTTGAAACTCACCATCAGATAAGGGTGTGTATACCTTAGAAAAATTTGCTTTTTAAATTTGGCAAGTGTGCACTAGAAATAGCAATAACATTGGCACAGAAAAGCAACTGGATGTGTGATAGATTTGATATAGAATTACTTTACAACAACAACAAAATTCATCTTTACAACAGTTCTTAAGTAGATATATTTATATATATTTTACTCATAATGAAACAAGATGTTTACACCGCATTTAATATCTAAGTGCAAGCTAGTTCTTGGTGGACAACAGTGGACTTTTACCTCAATAAGCTGCCTCTGGGCTTCGTTGATCTGGTTAACGAGGCTGGGATTATCCTTCACCAGTTCCTTGATGGTGTCCGTGTGGTTGAAAGTGATAAGCAGTAAATCTTGTGGACGTGGACACAGAACGATCTGATACTTAAAGGCCATAGTCATCAAATCGTAAAGCTACAATAAAGACAACAACACAAACTTACACAGGAAATTGGTAATAAATATAGACTGTAAACATTTTTGTGCCACATAAACTGAAAAATGTGCTATATGTGGTCTAAATTAACTGGTTTTATTCAAGTCAGAAATATTATTTAATATGACTGAATGTAACTGACTACATTTAAGTCTATTTATCTGGGTTGGAACAAGTAGAAATAGCACTGTTTTATAGTTGCATTACACGTTGTAAAATGCTACTGGTTCATAGATAAATGTAATTTATTTTAGATTTATTTAGTATAAAGATTTTTTGTTTCCTTAATGTTCAGAAGTACAATGTTCCGAAACACAAGTAATGCATTTTGTTGTGTTTAATGCGCTTTCTCTGATTTGTTTTAATTTAAGTCACCATGCTGCATGTTTTGTTTTTTTTGTTTCTTTAAATAGATCTAGACTGAAAAAACATTTATGCAATATCTTCCCAGCATGCACTGGGGCATGAAACTTGATATAGTTACATTATTTGCTTGCTTTGTTTACATTGCCTTTTTTTGTCATATTTAATAGCCTGTTGATCATGGCAGATTTTGATAGTTGACCCAAAAATTTGCTGAAGCTTTACTCACCCACAGACCATCCAAGATGTAGATGAGTTCATTTGTTTATTGGATTATATTACAGTTACAGTGACCGTTTAAAGTTAAAACAACTTACTGATGGATTTGTTTCTTACAAACACACAACTTTTCACTTAAGACATTCATTGATGGTCTGGAGTCGTGTGGATTACTTGTTTTACATACTTTTTACATATTTTATCAGTGATTTGGACTCTGATGGCAACCATTCACTGCCAAAGATCCATTGATGAGCAAGTGATATAAGGTTAAATGTCTGTTCCAGTGAACAAACCGGATGGCCTGAGTGTGAACACATTTTCAGAAAAAGTCAATTTTTTGATGAACGATTCCTTTAAGCCATGGCAAACTGACATTTTAAGTTCAGTCAAGACTTAAATGTAAGAAGTAAACTGCAAAATGTTGCCTAAAAGTATTGGTGTTTTTCAAGTTAAAAAAACACACACATTTTCTTTTTAAATAGCTGGACAACCAGTCCTACTTTTGGCCTGGTGCATACTGTACATGTACAATCAAGACCATTCATTATTACTATTTCTTAAAGTACTTTAAGGAATTACGTTTAATCTGAGTAAATCTTTCTCTAATAGTGTATTTAATTACTGACACTCTAAGAAAACTCAATGCAAAAAAAAAAAAAAGGAGTGTGATTCACAATTGTTTTTGCCTGGGGAGAGGGTGAGTTCATACCTTATCCATGCTGAGCGGGTTTAGACGCATAATAGAGGCGTGTGCTAGCCGTGTCAAAACTGTCCGCAGGGCTCGGTGGGAGTACAGATCCTGCGGCCGCAAGAGCTCCTCTAGAAAAGCCTTATTGAACATAGTGGCCACTATATCATTCATAACTAGAAAGAGCATGAGAAAGATGAGTAAGAAAAAGAGAAACATTGAGGCAGGAGTCAAATCCTAAATATCCCACAGAAAGAAATGGAAAGAATCTGCTAAAGTTTGCATTATAAAAATGATTTTTGTACATTAGTTAATTATGGGTTTGGTTATGAAATACAGACATAATATTAACCTTAATTTTGGATAATAAAATGTAGTATGATATGACTTTCTCCGATTATTGATTGCTTTTGGTACATGTGGCACTGTGTGGATGACATATATTTATTTATTTCTTAACGAAACCCCTTAGAATTTCACAACAGTTAATGATTCTTCCACACATGCTTTTTCTGTTACAAAATAAGCTGCATGTAACATATATATCAAATATTTGGAACAAACTAAATAGGAAGAAAGGTCATGAAAAAATAATAATGTACCTCTTTTCCTGTCATCATCTGTCCAACGACCTGCAACAGAGCATTTAACCTGTGTTAAGGCCAATTTTCTGTTACATCTGAGCAAGCACTTCTCCTTCACTCAGTCTTACGACAGGGCATAGTTTAGTGCAATTGAAAATTATGCATGGTACTGTACATGAATCTGTCAGTTAAGCAAGCTACCTTCTGACAGCAGCTGAGATAACATCAAATCATGCATGTGAATAGATATATTTCTAAAACTGTCATTATATTTGCATTATAAATCCATTTCAATTATATATTTAGAGACAGACAGATAGTTAGATTAGGCTACCTTTTTAAAGTAACTTACTAAATATTACAAAGATTTGCATAAGGCAAATATGCACGATGATTGACATGACATAATGGGAATAAGATGGCTGACAATCAATGGCACACCAAATGTGGATGTTTATGGTTTGTGGATTATGGCAACGTTTCATTATTTGCTTTTATTTTATTGTTTGCATTTAACGAGTAGTCTGGTTTTCCCCTTTTTGCAGCATTTGAAAATCAAATTAATTCATATAACAACTCTTTTTTTTTTTTGTCCGTAGCCTACTTTTGTTTTTATTGTCATAATACATTCATAAAACAGACAACAACGCGCGAAGGTTGGACTAGTTATGGTCAGCTTGCTAAAGCAGGATGAAGGTAGATATGCAGCTATTGTATCTATTATCGTTACCTCTCTGAGTTTTATCATCGTTGTCGTCCTGCGCTCGGAGGCGCTGATCCAGAATGTAGATCATTTCTCCGCCGAGGTTTATGATGAGCAAAGGAAGAGTTCTTTGAGACATGATGAAAATAGTTATTGTAGGGTTTTATTAGCGGCTCACTTATTTAATAAACCACAGGGACAAGTTACTGCAGTTGGCGCGGCGCGTGTTCTTTGATCAAGTTCATTTTCTTCTAGCGGGGCATTATGACGTCACGTAATGCCACGCTGACCCGCTGCTCCTGCGCGCTCGCGCTCGCGCTCGCGCTCACACACCTGTCATTACAGGCGCGCGCGGTGGATGAATTCTGGCAAGTTGAGCCAGCCACCTCTTGTTTCTAGGCAACCTTATACAACATTTTTGATATGCCCACAATTAGATCAAGTGATGTCCGTTTACTCTCACCCTGTGATGGAGAGAGGCCCATGAAATAATTGGTAACTACGTTTAGGTTCCAAAAACATTATTTTTTTTTTGCTGTTCAAAGTTATTTTTAATGTTCAAGGACGCATGCTTCTTGTGTCTGAACAATAACAGACAAATCTGGGGGAAAAAAATGCTTTAGGAAGTTATAATATGAGGCTATACTGTTCTAAACTATTGGATGATACAAGTTTGTTAAAATGGTAAGAGTGGGCCAGTGTTGAGCCAGTGGATCATCCCTTATAAAGGATTATCTTACTGTATTTCTATGTTATATTTCATTTGTTTTAGACCAAATATTTGTGATTTTGTTTTTTGTTTTGAATTAGATTTTTTCAGAAAATTTTAAATAGACTTTGTTTTTGAAAATTGGCCATTGAAGTTTTTATGAAATTGTATTTCCCTGCACAAGGCTCCAGTCCATGGGTGCCCAAACTCGGTGCTGGAGGGCCGGTGTCCTGCGGAGTTTAGCTCCAATTTGCCTTAACACACCTGCTGGGAAGTTTCTAACATATCTATACTAAGAGCTTGTTTAGCTGGTTCAGGTGGGTTTAATTAGGGTTGGAGCTAAACTCTGCAGGACACCGGTCCTCCAGCACCGAGTTTGGGCACCCCTGATCCAGTCCATCATAAGGCTCACAAATTGATTTTTTAAGAAGCCATATTTATTGAATTTCTCTTCTTTTGATATAGCATGAGCTGAAAGTGTTCAGTTTTACTTCAGCATAATCAGCGGCACAGTTTAACTCAGTGTGGCTCAACTTACCCTCTCCCTAGACTCAGTTTACCCCTCAAGGGGCAAGTTGAGCCAAGAGACCACTTTAAAAAAAAAACATTTTTATGGAAAGCCATAATTTGAAAGCTGTTTATTTTAGATATGAAGGGATTATTCCCAAAGATGCACCACATCCTGAAATGTATGTACATATTTAAATTGGACCCATTACGGTCATGTGCTCACTTTAAACACACCGTAAAAACTGGTTCAACTCCCCCTGCTCTCCCCTATATTCTGTTGTATTATTCATTCATTCATTCAATATATTGTTCTTTCATTCAGTTAATAATCTATTAATTAATTTTGGAGACAGCAGGTGTAATTTTCATACTTTTTACTAGTAAAAAAACCCATTTCTTGATATTTTGATGTATTTATTTCCATTTTTCCAAGTTATGAAACAACATAGGCCTAACTGTAAAAGACTTAACATTCAAACATTTCAAATCAATTTTTTTTAAATAAATGTATAACATTTCAAATGTGTGACAACTTGCCCCAAGCTGACATTTAAAAATATCCTGTTGATGAAAACAATGTACCCATTTAGTTAATATCTACCTTCCTCACATAGTAGCCTATACAATGCCTTGCCATTATTTTAAAGGTACCAAAATGCTATTTGTGTAAGACATTCATTCATAATTGCTCTTAAAAACTTTATACACTCTTTAAAAATAAAGGTGCTTCACGATGCCATAGAAGAACCTTTTTGTCTAAATGGTTCCATAAAGAAACTTTAACATCTGAAGAACCTTTCTGTTTCACAAAAGGTTCTTTGTGGCGAAAGAAGGTTCTTCAGATGATAAAAAGGTAAGAAAGAGATGGTTCTTTAAAGAACCTTTGACTGAATGGTTCTTTGTGGAACCAAAAATGGTTCTTCTATGGCATCACTTGAAGAACCTTTTGAAGCACCTTTATTTTTAAGAGTGTAACTGACAGATGAGTTTGAGGATTTTCATATGCCGTCTGTACACAGTGAATGAATGCAAACTATTTCAGGGCTCATTTTACATTGACTGTTTAGGCAAATGTAGTCAAATGCTGTATAACTGCCTCAGTTAAAGATGTAAAGTATATGACAAAAGGAAAGACTGCAAACATCATCATTTTCTTTGACTTCTTGAACTGTCTGATGCCAAGGTCAGAAAAATTCAGTGGATGCTAATTCTTCTAATCTTCTACAAATTATATTGCGCTAGTAAGTAATAATTTTTGGTTGTTGTTTAAAAATCATGATCGAACACATTTCTAAATATGAAATACATGTTTAGTGTGTTTAGTTTGGCATGGTGTCTAAATTCAAATTACTTTTACAGGGAACTCTTGTACTGTAAACACGAGGAACTGTTGAAGTTTGGATTTCTCAAGGTATTACAGGTGATATTTGCTGTCAAGAGCATGAAACTAGCTTTTAATGATCGCACTGCTAAAAATGTTTTAGAATAGCAATGTTCAATAAAGTTACCAGTGATTTGAGCTCTTTTGAAATATTCAGAGACTCAATATCAAATTACAGCCTAGATGATTATAAGCTTTTCATCTATATCAACTAACAATTTTTCAGAAGTACTGTTGCAGAAGGAAACTAAAAATAATGGGAAAACTTCAGTACGTTTCTGTGTTTATAGTGTAAGTAGCGTTGTGATAAGTAGAATATGATTCTTCTGATTCTGGCATTTTTTTAAATTTTGAGGAAGTAGAATCTCAGTCCACAGAAAGTGGAGAAACTTCATCACAACAAGAATCTCAGTCTGCAGACGAGGAACATCATGCAGAAGGTGAAGAAACTTCATCACAAGAAGAATCTCAATCCACAGGAGAGGAAAATCATGCAGAAGGTGGAGAAACTTCAGCACAACAAGAATCTCAGTCTGCAGACGAGGAACATCGTGCAGAAGGTGGAGAAACTTAATCACAAGAAGAATTTCAATCCACAGGAGAGGAAAATCATGCAGAAGGTGGAGAAACTTCAGCACAACAAGAATCTCAGTCTGCAGACGAGGAACATCATGCAGAAGGTGGAGAAACTTCACCACAAGAAGAATCTC